GCTATGTCACAAAATGGTGGAATAATTTGTCCCTTGTCCCTAGTCTGCAACCCACCCATGTTTTCATTGCATTAACACTTTGAAGGTCTGAATTAGTTTTCTACTGCGGCTGCAGAAAATTACTACAAACTTTATAACTTACTGCAGACTTAATCTCTTTCAATTCTGGAGGTCAGAAGTCTGGGGCTCATCTAGCTAAAATCAAGGTGTTGGCAGGGCTACATTCCTTTCTGGAGATTCTAGGGGAAAATCCATTTTCTCCTTCTTTGGAAAGGAAAAAGAGGCTGCCTGAATTCCATGTCTCACGACCCTTTCCTTCATCTTCAAAGCCAGCAGCATAGCATCTTTAAATCCCTAACTCTCCTGCCTTCTTTTGTCACTTAGGGCTACTGTGACTGCTTTGGACCTCCCTGGATAACAAAAGATAATCTCCCCATTTCAAGATCTTTAAATTAGTCACATTTGTAAATCCCCCTTTATCATGAAAGGTAACTGGCTCTGGGGATTAGGATGTGGATATCTTTGGAGGGGGGCCTTTTTCTGCCTCTCCCAGGGTCTTTGTGAATAGTGTAGACATTGTACTGTCCTTACCAACACCTGCTGTATAGGCCCAGGGATCAGCACTGGTGGCAAGAGTGATCCTTGAGATTATTAGTCAGGTGAAGAGGCCCATGCAGACCCTAGAAGCGGACTTGGATCTGTTTGGGCAAATCATTAAGCATTTCAGGCATCCAGTGAATGGTCCGGAAGTGGGGCATGAGCGCCAGGTATGAGTAGCCTCTTGCCCTATGGGAAGAGACTGGGAGAGGGAAGGACCAAAGTGGAGCCCTTGTAGGCTTGAGGCTCAGGGCAGGATTCCCCTCGGCTGAGTCTACAAATGATACTATCTTCTGATCTAGGATCACTAACCTAAGCTCAATGGACTCTGAAATTCTATGCAATTTTTTTTTCTTTGTGTGTGTATATACATTTTGGGGAAAGCTTTATAGTTTTCATCAGATTCTGAAAGTGACCCAGGAGAGTTAAGTGCCATAGCCCTCGCTACTCTGTTTACTCTTATTGGGTAAGGCTGACCTTTTCTGGGTCATTTCTGTGTCCACAAGAGACTTCCTTGAGTCTCAGGTGCAGCTTCCCAAGCTGGCCTGTGCCTACCATGAGCCTTTGCAGTGACAATTCTGGGGTGTGGAAGGGACTCACATGGGTTAGCTGAGCCTCCTGTCTGGGGTGAGGAGGGAAGGGCAACAGGAAGAGGTTCCTTCTCTAGCAAACAGACATATATCCCTGATCTCAACTGCCAAGCAGAATGCAGGACGGGGGCCAGATGGGAGACTTGCAAATTGAGGTCTGGCCAGCACCATCGCTGACCCCACCTGCCTGAGGTGCCTGACAGGTGAGCCAGAGACACGCTCTCCTCGGGAAGGGATCTGGAGGAGTGAGGGAAACAACATCAACTTCCACCATCTGCTTTTTTATTTTCTAAGAAACTAAACAGAGTTTCTTCTTCCCAGTGAATTTCCTTAACAAGGATATTTTAAAGCTTTGGAAAACATACTTGTCCTAGTTTAATTGTATAAAGACTTTCTGTACTGAAAGGGGAGGAGAGCGAGAGAAATGGGGAGAAAGGGGGCAGAAAAGAGGAGGGAGAGCAGCGAGGGGGAGGGGGGGGTTGGAGAGGAAAGAGTGGGAGGAAGGAAGCAGGAGAAAAAAAGGGGAAGAGGGAGTGGGAGAAGGAGGAGGAGGAGGAGGGGAGAAGAGAGAATGCATTTCAGACATTAAAGATCAGCTCTTTCCTGAATAATTTTCTCTCCCAATAATTTTCTTTCCTACCATCAGCTCACCTAGCTGAGATGAAGCACCTGAGGTCCAGGGAAAGGAGCCTGGGACTCCAGTCTCCCCACCCCCATGCCTGCCAGTCTTTAGGAGGCATCTCTGCTGATGGGGGTTCTTTCCTAGGGGCATCTGAGGCAAGAGAGCGAGGCACTCTGTGGACTCAGGCCCCTCAGACTGTGGTCCACAGTTGGGGAAATGGCGGCGCCCAGTTGGAGAGTCCATGGAGAGATAACCCAGAGACCTCTTTCAGATCGTCAGATAAGCTGCTGATGATCCAGGGAATCCTGATCTGCTTGTCTGAAAACTCTTTGAGTCTCTTCTAATCTCCGCATCTGCAACCCTTTCCTGGCACTTGCCTCAGGAAAGATGGCCTTCTGACCTCAGCATCTCTCTTTGACCCCTGAGCTCCCCCCACCCAAGTCTCCTTGTCCATCCTGACCCAGTCTGGTCTGAGTTTTTCTGGCAATTTGAGCTGGCCAGTGAGCGTGGTCTTCTCTTCAAGAGGAGCAAAGAGGCAGAGGTAGTCATTGAGAAGCATCCCACAGATTCTTTTTTTTCTTCTTCTTCTTCTGAAAGAGAGCTTGCATTTCTTCCCCATCACCCCCTAGAAATCCTTGCTTCTGAGGGAGCAAATTATCTCGGGGAAACTGAGGCCATGATGAGTCATCCACTGTATACTGGAAACTCTCCATGATGCCTCCTTTTCTTGGCTGACAGGTGAGGAGGACCGGCCAGAAGCCATCCATGCCAGCCTCTGCTTAGCATTGACTGGATACTTCTCTGTCCTCTCAGACCAAAGCTCCAAGAAGGTCCCTAGGTCACCTCCAGGCGGGAACAGGGCCGCATGATGTCCTGCTGTCACTTTCGTCTTGATAGTGCCTCAGAGGACAGATGGAGAACTGGGTCAGGAGAGGCCAGGAGGGAGGAAAACATGGGGGAAAAATCTACCAGACGGGAGCTTGGAGAGTGGAGGGACCATGCCCTAGTTAACACCGGACCCTCCACCGGAAGCTCACAGAGAAAGCGTGCAAGATAAGCCGCTGACCATCCAGTGAATCCTGATCTGCTTGTCTGAAAATTCTTTGAGTCTCTTCTAATCTCTCTGATGTCACAGAGTGGTTCTGGAGAGGAGTCTAAAGCTAAAGCCTAAAGCTCTGGGGGTGGAGTTTAAAAATAAGCACCACCCTCTTTTGGGAAGGCGAGGGTTTGTTCATTCATTTGGCAATGAGGTATTGATCATCTGTCTTATGCTCAGCATCGTGTGAGGTGCCAGGGTTAAATAACGAGCAAGGATAAGAGTCCTTGATCCTGTGGAGTTTATATGCTAGTCAGAGGGACAGGATTTGGCCAATAATCTTACCGATGGATAGTTTCTGACTGTGAAGATGTTTTCTGTTGTAATAGAAAACCCAACCCCTGGAAGAAAAGTGGCTGCAAGGTTGTCTGATCTCAATGTAATGAAAGAACCAGATTCTTTCCAGCTTTTCACTCTCTTTGGGGGTTCTGTCCTCAAACTATCCCCTGAATCATCAAGATTTGGCTGCTGACATTCTGGACAGGATATCCAGTCATGAATCTATCTGGGCCAAGAAGAAGGAGTGTCTGTTTTGGTTATTTCTTGTTAAGTAAACTTTTGACAATGCCCACTCACCCCCTGCAAACTTCCCCTTCACATTTCCTTGGCCAAAACTGGTGCACATGCTAGTTCTTGAAAAAAATGGGATTCCCAGAACCAATTGGGATGAGTCAGGGATAATATCAGATTCTCTGATTAGAGGACAGTTTGATAAAAACTAGGGTTCTCTGGCTGAATGTCGCAAAGGGAATGAATTTTTGGAAGGCAACTGAGAGCATCTGCCATCCTAAAATGGAGGCCAGGGAAACTTTGAGCTGTCCTCAGAGGAAAGTGGCCTGCTCCAGGCTGGAGACGATGGCTTCTCAGCTTCTCTTCAGTAGGTTTATAGTTTATTGAATCTTGGAATGGGAGAAGACCTTATGAACACTTAACCAAAGGTCCTTAAATTTTGGCGGATGATGGAGTAAATTGGGGAGAGAGTCAAAATACAAATTCCCAGGCTCTACAATGACCACTTGAACAGGAATCCCAGGAGGTGGGGGCTTAGGAATCTGGATTATTAAAGAGTTCACAGGTGTTTTGGATACTGATGTTCTAGTATCTGGGAACCACAAATTCACCTGCCACAGGAAGCCCAGAGAGAGGACTTAAATTGTCTCAGTTCATATAGACAGTAGGTTAACCACTGCATGGGGGAGGATCTGCCTGAGGACACGGTCTTTGAAGTATCCTGATGGGCAAAGAGAGGGGAGCAGTGACCTTGGTCAGCAGTCCAGGGCTGGTGGGTCAGGTCTTTGCTTGTGTTGGGGCAGGGGCCCTTCAATCATGACCCCCTTCTATTGGACTGAATCTTAACAAATCTCACCACCTTCAACCCTTAGACAACTCTGGATCAAGAATGATCATTCTCATTGCAGAGAGCAGTGAACCGAGGCTCACAACGCCTCCCAGTGTGGGGCGCTCAGAATTCTGCCTCCTGCTCCTGTGGATCTTAGTCCCTCCACGCCTCTGCTTTCCTGCCGCTCCGCAAAGAGAAACGTGGCCGCCAAACCGAGGAGGCGGCCGCTCCAGTGCTGTGTCCTCCCTGAGCGCGCACCCTGTGGGAGGAAGTCCGGCTCCTGCGGGGCTGCGGGGCTGTGGCGGCCGAGGAGGCGCCTTCCCAGCTGCACAGGGGCAGCCGGGCCAGCAGGGGTCACTGCGTGGGTAAAAATGGGGCGCGCGCCGGGCGCAGAAGCCACTAGGTGGCCGCCCCCGCATCCTTTCTAAGCTGCCCTCTTGCCGCAGTCCAGCGTGGGTCATGGTCCTTGTCATATAACCAGCGGGAGGCCGAGTGCCACGGGGCAGCCGGCGGTGGAGTGGAAGGCGTTGGGGCTGTGCAGCGCGGCTGGCTCCGCGCTCCTGCCACGCTAGACACCCCCCCCCCCCCCCGGGGTCACCGCGCCCATGCTCTGCGGGAGAAAGCTGTGATTTACAGCTAGAGGGGTCGGACTTCGCAGGCAGCTGGGGGTCAGGCTGGACCACAGGCCTCCAACCAGGGAGACTCCTGCTGCATGGGATACTGGTTCCAGGCTGCCACTGGAATCCCACTGGCAGAGCCTGCATGTGGACCTCTGGGACAGTGGCTTAGAGACTGTATTTTAGAACAAGGAGACCCTAGAATATTAGAATGTCATGGCGCAGGGAGGCTGAACAACAGGCTCTGCCACCAGATAGTTCCCCTGTTGAACCCTGGCCTCCCGCCTCTAGCTGAGCACCTTGGCCCATTATCCCACCTCCTCATCTCTTCTGTCTGCTCCTGGGCAAAGGGAATAGTGATAGCACCTTCCTTCTGGGGTTGCTATGGAGCTTAATGAGTGACCATGATATGAACTGTGATTGGGGCAGAGCCTTGCTCAGGGTCAGAGCTGCATGATAACTATTATTATTGACCCTAATGTTCTTCCAGTCACATACAAAAATCTCAAAATACAGCAGGGACAAGGCCCTGGCTCTCAGAGAGCTCCCATCAAAGCCAGTGCCAAATCCCGCCCTCCAAGGCCTCATAAGAGAGAATTGTCCTGATGAAGCACTCCCACCCCTCTTCATAGCTTAGTGAGGTTCAAGGTCTCTTGGAATGATGTCAGCCCTTGGAGCTGCGAGGTCTGGTGAGGTCAGGCAGGACTGGAGCCTTTGTTGAGCAGCGCAATGAAGTCCTATGTGTTTTCTGCAAATGGGCCTAGCCTCTGTCCATGTCCTTGGAGGACTCTGTGGCTGTGGCTTCCCAGGCCTCCCTGTTGACTGTGTCTATTGAAAGGGTTCTTTGTACAAGGCCATCTGGGAAAAGAATGGCAGTTTGTGCCTCCCCAAGTGTTTGCCAGCAACACCCAGGCCCTGGGTGGGTGCAGGCCACCTCACCCACTGGGAACATGCTGCTTAATTCAGACCAGATTCCTGAGCTCTCACGCAACACCCGTCTCACTGATATTAGGCTGTCCCCTCCCGATAGTGTGTGACAGGAGGAGTTGTGGGGTTAGGAGCAGAGAAGCATGGGTTCTGGCTCAAACTCCACCATGTGGTGGCTGGATGTCCTTTGATCAAGTAACTTCACCTCTCTGTTCTGAGGCTTTTCATTTATAAAATGTCCTTTCTGTTGCTCAGAGGTTCTAGACAGACGGTTCACACGGGATAGGAATAAAGGGGGCTAGACTTAGGTTGCGAGAGTTCATGATGAATTATTGATCTATGATTAAATTCTCAGTGCTGGTCATTTCTGTGGGCAACCAAGTAGTCACCAAAGGGGTGGGGAAGACAGAAGAAGGAGGACCTTGACCTTGGGGCATCTCTATTCCCATCCAGTTTATTAGAGAAGCAGAGCACACATTCCTGAGGGCAGAGAAATATACAAATATAGACTTCAAAGAAAACCACAAGCATGGTTTAAATATACATCTATAAACACATGAACAATTTCCAAACTAACAACAGCTGGAAGTTCAAGTGCTCCAGAATTCTGAATTCTTCAAGTTTAGGAGAAGGTGCTTAAGGTTTTCTGGAGGAGGAAACAGTTCTTAACAAAAGAAATGTAGAGAAAAGAGTTAGTGAGTCCTGGTGGTGGTGGTGGTGAGGGAGCTAGAGGCCAGGGCAACCTAATTTGTAATCAGCTGAAGGTAGACAGATTTGATAGTGGCTGGGATATGGGGATGCTGAAGAACCAGCGATGTGTGAGGGATGGCTAATAGTCGTTAAGGGGCATGGACGAGTGGGCAGGCTCATCAAGGAATCACCATCCTAGGATCAGCTCAGGTGGTCTCATGCCATAAGTCAGTTTTCCAGGGAAAAAGGCTGAGACAGAGATTTGCATTCAGGAGGATTTTTTTTGAGGATGGCGTTTGGCATTGCCATTTCTGGGAGATGGGGCAGACTGGGAGGTTGGGGGCAGAGCCTCCCTCTTTGGAAGGTACAGCAGAGGTCTCAGCTGATCCCATAGGAACTTTGCAGCTGGGATGGCTGTTCCAAGAGGTTCCTGTCTGAGGCTGGAAGAAAGGACCTGCAAACCTCACTCCCATACCACTGTCGATCAGTTAGTGGGTATGGAGTTAGACTTAGGGGAGACTGCTCCTTCTGTGGAAGGCAGTGCCTGGAGAGGGACAGGGCTGTGAATTGTCAGGAGCCATGGCTCCCAGCAGCTGTGGGAATGCATGCCTCCATGCTGAAGGGGAGACTTAGGTGATGCACCCCAGGAAACATCCCTAGCAGTGTCTGATGCCCCTGATCAGGCCCTAAGACTAATGCTAGCCCATTAGATTCTTCTAGGGCAAATGTTTCTTTTCCTCATACCCCTTTATAGAATATTAGATGTAGAAGTGAATTTTTGAGACCCTTTCATCCAATGATTCTCAGCCTAGGTGAAGAGACTTTTTCAAACCACCCTCAGGAGATTTGATGTGCATCGACCTTCTGCCACCAAGACTCAACTATCAGCTCCTTGAAGTTGGGGCTCCGTCTTACACAGTGGTAAGTGAATGTTTGGGGAAATTGTGAATGTGACCCTGGCCTTCGTCTTCAGTCTTCTGCCTTGGATCTCCTCTCCCATTTGTTTTCTGCGTTGCAGTCACTACGACCACCTTCCCTTCGCAGACTGCTCCCTCGGCCTGAAAGTGTCCCTGCTTGGGACTTGTTTCTGCTTCTGGATCCAGTTCAGTTATGACTTCTTCCGGCCCTGTGGAACTGGTACCCCTCTTCTGCATAAATGAGTTAATGTACCTAAGATGATTATGGAATGAACTGGATTTGGGAGCCTCCCTCTGAAACGGAGAATGCCTTCCAAGCACTGAGAGTGAAGGCTGGGTGGCCCTGTGACCCTGACAAGAGCCAAAGAAGACGGGGTTGGAGGTTGCCCATTCAGGCTCTCTACCAGACTAACTGAATCCGCAGATGTACATTCTCTGCCTTTGATCACACTGTCTCTGTCATATCTCTTCTCCTCTGCCTCCTCTTTGTAAGTTCTGCTCAATATCAGACATTTTCTAGGCCAAATCTTTGAAAAGATTAAGTTATTTTTCCATCTTTCTTCAAAGTTGGCTTTGAATAAAACCCATTTTCCTATCAATTGGACTCCAGATATTTTCTGGAGCCGCGAGCAGTTACAGCCCAGCTTCTTTCCTCCTGGGTGGTAGGAGAGCCCCCTGGTGACACCCAGAACAGAGCCAGACACATGGTAAGCTCCACCTAGGTGCTAACTGTTGCTGTTACTCCATCCTTTGGCACACAGAGCTGATCACTATCCTAAGATAAACCACACTTTGCTTCAAGGGCTTGTTTACTTGTCTATCTTCTAGTGATCTGAAAGCCCTTGGCAAGCAGATACCCTAGCCTTTATCTTTGTATCCAGGGTATCTAGGACAGTGCCTGACACACAGCAGGTGCTTCATAAATGTGTGTAAAATGGGTAGAACTAGCCTGGGAATACAGTTTGAAAAATTCTATTTTTAAGTACATTTAATGAGAGGCCGATTGGATGAGATTCACTGTTAATGGCCAGACGTGGCATCAATAAATACCGAATACTGAGTGAGAGATTTGATGCATGGGTAGAAGGATTGTTGACTGGACAGGTGGATGTGTGGATGGATGGGTAGAGGGGTGGAGAGATGGACTGATGAATGGATGTTACCCTGTGTGGAAGAAGGCCAGGATTTTCGAATCTGGGCAGAAGGGACAGAGGGCAGGAGGAGGGCCAAGCCAATTAGGTGTGAACTGGAGAGGGGACCTCTGAGCAAAGCTTCTCTGCCCCTTTGATCTTGCCCAGTAGAAGCTGGGGAAGTGCTGCTCCTGCACGCCCCCACCTTCAGGGAGTGTCCCAGGGAAGGTGCTGGGGGCCATTACTCATTCTGACACCTCCCCGAGGTCAGGGTAAAGGCAGGCAGAATGGAGGTGCTCTGGAGTGCTGAGTCAGGGGGAAATGGGCTGTGCGTGAGTGGGCTTCTGGGAGAACGTCTGGGGATGGGAAGCCAGGTGCAGTGGTCTCTGTTCCTCAAGGGGGTTGGCAGAGAATTCCCCAGGAAGGGAACTAGAGCCAGAGAGAATCACCCTGTAAGGGTCCCTGGAGGACTGGTTCCCCAGCAGGCATGGCAGAGTGCAGATCTGTGTCAGGTTTCAGGGAATTTCTGTTCTAGAAAAGTCTTGCTTTATTTTTTCTCCAGCAGGTAAGCGTCAGTTAAAGTCTGGTCAGTAGGCAGAGATGGCTTGTCAATTGTTGTCATCCAGGTGGGACAGTTGGGTCTGCTAGATTTTAATAGGTCAGGGATATTTTGTGTATCTTTTTCTTACTGAAATGAGCAGTAAATGGGAATTCAGAAAGCAAAGAGAGAAGCTCAGTTGTTTCTCAGGAGAGCCTCCAGCAGTGCTCCTAGGTGGGTGGTACTGCACCCTTAGAGATTGGTGGGGGGCGGCAGAGCTGAATAAAGGGCCTGGGGCCAGAGTCCTGGCACCCTACCATGAAGGATAGGCCCTCAACCAAGAATCACCCCACGCCAAAGGGAGTGTCTTCTTGGAGAAAGACTGCATGTAGCCCAAGAGAACAGTTTATACTAATGATTTGTAAAGTCTGTGCCTGCCCAGTCCTGCTCCCCTCCACACACCCAGACTTCTAGGTCTGTCCCCTCTCTTGCTTCTCTTCTCTGGAAGATCCTGAAATTGCTAACATTGAAAGTTCGCAGAGAGCCATGAGCTTGGGGAGGGAGGTGACAACCAAGTGAGAAATAACATCACCTGCCTGTGGGTCTGGCTCCCTCCTGCCGAGGGAACAGCAGGGCTGGAGGAGGTAGGCTTCTGGGAGAATCTTCCCCTACACTCACTGCTCAGGGCCTCCCGAGCCTCCCAGCAGAATATCTGGGGTCTGCTGGTCAGGCAGAATTCCCAGGGCCAGCTGCCCCGATGCTGTCTGAGTTGGGCCTGGGCTCCATCCACCCCCCCTCCCCATCTCTCATCTTGGTTCCTTCCCTCACCTCAGGCCTGGTCTGTCAAGTGCGGCAGGCAGGGAGAGAGAAAGCAGCACGCCTCTCCTAACACCCCATGTCCTGGAAGGACAAAAGTAAAAATATAGAAAGCCTCTGGTCTTGGGGTCGGATCACATGGATCACAAGGCTGGGTGGCCTGCCACCTCGTCTGTCAGGTTGTGGGTTTCTGAGAAGGTGGGGAAGCTGGCTCCAGCCAGAGATGGGGAAGAACTGGGTTTGTAGGGATAATACCTGTGTCTGTAGTTCCTTCTCAGCCTTCTCGTGGAGATACCCTCTGGCCCCATGGTGTGGGCTGGAGGAAGACCGTCTTTATATCCACTTTCCAGATAGGAGAGCTGAGGCCTGGGGCCGTGTCTGGCAAGTGGTGCTTTCCAAGTCTTCTGCCTCTGAGTCCAGGGCTCGCTCCTCCACAGCAGCACCACCCGGCTCTTCCCTCTCGGGCAGGCCCTGGTGCGGCCCACCTGTGGGGAGGCAGCAGTGGCCCCAGAGGCCTCTTCCTGGGGGCCTTTGTGGAGGTTTGGGTGGAAGGCTTAGCATCCTCTGTGGCAGCCCAGGGGGTGTAATGGGTGAGCAAGAAAGAGGCCTGTTCTTCAGGGCTGACCCAGCCAGGCACAGGATCGTGTATGCTGCAGACTAGAGATGACATCCCGGAATCATCTCAGAGGGGACAGCTGACCTCTGAAATGACAGGCAGCTGAGCAGCTTTCAGGAACTCGGGGAAGCCCTGGCAGGCCCGATCCCTGGGTGTCTGGGAGGCAGCCAGGGAGGGAGAAGAAGCAACTCATCAGGGCTCAGTGAACAGGGTTTTAGGGGTGCTGGTCTCCTTACCAATTATGTTTCTGACATCCCCCTCCCCAACAGCAGGCATCCCAACAGCCAGAAGAAGGGGTGCATTGGTCAGGCCACTCTGGATCCCCTGACAGTCAGGAGCCTTTACCCCCAGCTTCCTCAAGAGCTCTGCTTAATGCCCATAGATTGCCTTAAGGCTCCCCTGGGCCTTTGCTCGGCCCAGCAGCCTGGGCCAGGATGAAAGCGAAACTGTCAATAATTCATGCCCCTGCTCCCCCTCACTTCCCCTGCTTGGCTGGCTGTAAATATTTCACGGGTTTCAGGGAGCAGAGAGAGCCCGGCAGAGACTCCCAGGATGAGGCTCAAAGAAGCCTTCACCTTTCCCAGAGACCCCAGTCAGGTCCCGGGCAGGACAGGATCCAGGTCTCAGCTTGGGGAGTGATGAGCTTGTCCAGAGCGACTGACCAGGCTGGTCCTGCAGTCTCTGGTGGGAATTTGGGTTCTGGGCCACGCCCTCTGCAGACTGGCTCCTTGGAAAGCTATCCTGAGGAGAGGTGGCAGGGGTGCAGCCACCTTAGAGCCAGCCTGGGGGCTGTCTTCAGCCCCTCCTCACCCTGCCCTCTCCCACATCACCTGCCCTGGTTTAAGCCCTTGAGCGTCTTCCCAGACAATTGGCCCAGCCACTCTGTGACCACAGACAGCCTGAGAAGTCTTTCTAAAACAAAAATTGGACCTTGCCACTCCAGCGTCTCAGAGCTGTCACAAGCTCCAGGTCATCTTCAGGGCTAAATCTTTCCCTGTGTCAACATGCAGGCCCTGCATGACCTGGGTCCTGAGCTGTTCAGCCTCATTTCCCAGCCCCGCAGCCTGTCCCTCATACTGTCACCATCCCCCTATTCCTGCACCCCTAAACTCTTTCCCACCTTCCAGGGTTTGTTCTACTTGCACTTGTACCAGAGGTACTAGGAGTACCAGCTTCCAAGTTTCTAAACGCATCTCTAAGCTTTTATGGGGGTCACTCTGCCACTCTGGGGCCAGGCCCAGCCTCCTACATAACACCAGGTGACAAGCTTGATACACGGAGAGTCAGTTTCCAGCTCGGCCCATTACTTGTCTGTTTTTGTAACTGGTGTCCTGTTCCTCCCCAACCTTGACACATGCTTCTATAAAATTAGAATAGTAATATCTACTTCAGTGGGGAATTGAGAGGCTAGGGAATAAAGCCTATTAAGTTCACAGTTCAGTCCAAAGCACAGGGTAGGTACTCCAGCCATGCTAGCCTCTATATATTTAATCTATGAATTGAAGGCTGTGGAATCTCTCTCAACAGGAAAGGGCAGACAGGTGGGATCCTAAGAACCTTTGGAGAGGTCTTTTTGTTGTTGTTGTTGTTCTAATCAGTTTATACATGACAGCAGAATGCATTTCAATTCACTGCACACAAATGGAGCACAATTTTTCATTTCTCTGGTGTACACAATGTAGAGGCACACCATTCTTGCCACCATACATGTACCTAGGGTAATGATGTCCATCTTATTCCACCATCTTTTCTACTCCCATTCTCTCTCCCCTCCTTTAACTCCCCTCTGCCCAATCCAAAGTTCCTTCCCCCCCATCCCATTATGGATCAGCATCCACATATCAGAGAAAACATTTGGCCTCTATTTTTTTTTTTGAATTGGCTTATTATACTTAACACAATATTCCCTTGGAGGGGTCTTAAGGCAGGTGGTATATCTGAATAGACCCAGAGAAAATGAGGGAAGGAGGAGTCTCCAATAATAGGGTTCCTTAAGGAGGATACCGCTGTGAGAAACTGGAGCTGGATCCCATCAAGATTGGGGAGAACGTAGTATGCATTTCACAATGGTCCCTCTGAGCATCAGCCAAGGAATGAGAATTCTTCCTCCATAAAATCTTAAAAAATGCCAGACGTAAAGAGTCTTGCATTCACCAAAAGCATTTGGGCACCTTCTCATGAGCCAGATATTGTGCTGGGCCTTTCGTTTATGGTGCTTATTTGTTTCAGGCCACAACCCAGACCCAAAGTGGGCACTATTGCTTGTTCACAAGTTACCAATGAGAAAACTTGGCTCCAAAGGTGATGTCTGTAAAGGTCCGTTCTACTTAACCAGGGCTCCAGGCACCATGTTTGGGATTCATAGAAAACATAGGTCCTCGCCCTTAAGACTGTCAACAGCAAAGCACAGATGATACTCTACAGAAAGGACAAAGTCAGGCAAAGATACTTCCTAGTGAAAACCAGCTTGACAATCTGACTCAGAAGTATGAATTTCAC